AACAAAACAAATAAAGCTTTATTACTTTAACTTCATAAACTAGTTCAAATCCTTTCTGAAAAATAAAGTTTCATGAAGTTTTTTTTTTGTGAATTTCTTCATTAAAAGTTTTTCTCCGTGTTGCGTTCACTGAACTCGTGTAAAACAGASCACTTCGAAAACAGCGCTCACAGCCAGACTAATTAGCTCATGCTAACATAAGTTTAATATAAAAACTCAAACGTGTTACTCTCTGTACGATCAGCGGGGTTAGCATTTCGTTATTTTTTGTCGGTTTGTTGCATTATTTTGTTTGACAGATCTTGACATTTCTGGTTTGACAAACGTGTTTCCGGCCTGACGTGCTCCGCACCAGCGACGCGTAGAGGGTGGTCCCGAACGGGCTGAGAGGGGGGAAGGTCTTAATCTATTTTTTTTTCCTTTTATCTCACCCTCCCACGTCTTTAGCGTCGCCATAATAGTGTTTTATCAGTTTCACCGGGCAGCYGGTGGTCACAGGCCCGTTTAAAGCACCGGGACGTGTAGTTTTGTCCGGAACGTCCAGCTGATTGAGAGGCGTTCAATTCCTCCACTTCAAACTGAAGCTGTTTTTGTTCCACTTCAGCGGAAGCTCCGGACGGATCGGCTTCTCCACCCTTCCTCTCCGGCTTGTGGACTTTAAATTTCAGGATTTGTTTTTTTATTTTTATTTTTTAATCCAACTTGATAGTCGGAGCGTGTTCCTGAGTGGAGGACCAGGCCTCGGACTCATCCCCAGACTCGCGTTTCCATATCGAGTCTTTTTCTTCTTTTTTTTAGGGGAAGTCATGGGAGACACAAGTGAACGAAGCAAAGCTTCGACACTACCTCCCCGGTGTCCCTGTGGGTTTTGGGGGTAAGTGTTTAACCCGGTATAAACGAGCTGAAACCCACCGTGTTGAACCGAAAAGGTAAATCCGGATGAAACGTACTGAACGGGTTCAAACCCATTGTTGTTGTTCCGACGTGCAGGCCGAAGGTGGGGGGTTGGGAAGTTAGCTAATAAATAAACCGATCCTAGCTCTGAAAAACAAGCTAAAACCCATCAGATGTGCAACTTATCAGCAGATAAAGGTCATCTAAACGCGACGTGTCGATCGGAACCAGGCTTCGTTGTGTTTTCAGGCAGTTTTTAAACCCAGAAGATGACGTACCCGAAATAGAAAATGATTTATTGCCGGCAGGTTCCTTTTTAAACGTGCCGCTGGCTTGTTTTTAATAGAAACAAACAATTTAAAACGATTAACGCGTACTTTTATTCAACAAACTCGCCCATAAAGTCGCGTTTTCACTTGTTTCACAGCCTTCGTGTCTTGTCAGAAAGTAGTGGATGTGTGTTGCATACCGGATGTGATTCATTGAGTTACTCCAAAGGAAAAAANAGATAAAGGCTCCACTGTTTCTTCTAGAGATTAAAAATATAGTCATAAATTGCTAATGTAAAAATATGCAGAAACTTAAACATTTCTGAAAGGTATTTTTATTTTTTCAGTCTACCTGGATAAACAGGCTGACAATTTCTGGTTTTGGGGCTTTTAAAATAAAGAAGTAGGCCAGGCCATAAAACATTTTTGGTGGCGTTGGATTGAAAGTATTTGTATAAATTAATTAAAATCTTGGCGACGTATAAAAATGGCTACACAAACGGGTAAAACAATCATCCTCCAGTTGAACGTTAAAACAGCAGAAATGTTGAGGTTTGTTTGCTTTAGTTGCATGTTAGAACAATGACCAGAACACACTGTGAAGTTCCAGCTTTTGGACCATTGAGAACTGAGAGCTGATGGAAATGGTTCAGAGTGGAGTATTGTGTTGATGTGACCAGAAGTGAGAGACAGACGAGCCTGAAGCTAACGTTCAACCAGTCGTTTAGAATACGAGACAAAGACACATTCATCAACATCTGGTTCATCTCTACAGGACAAACAGCCAATCATTGATAAGTTTAATGATGACATCACAGTACAGTATTTTTTGTTTATAAARCACATTTACATATGATAACATTGCGCTGGGAATCTTTAAGCCCTCWCTTTGATTGGATTATAATTCAGAGGCTGTGATGGGATTAGAAAACCATTATTCATGCAGTAAACCTAAAATACAAACTGAAATGAATGGTTCCTTTTAACATAAACACTGATTTATATATTTACATTTTTTAAATAAATTGTGTTCCAAACAAAGCTTTTAGTTAAAGGCTGCTGACAATTTGCTTCTTCAGTTTTTAACATTGATAAAGCTGTAGGACATTTAACTTTGTTCAATACTGGAAATAAAATGTTTATAAGTCATTTATTAAAGACAGTAATGCTTCAGCTTAGTGCTGGGCGGTATGACCTAAATTTTATTTCATGGTATTTTCAACAAATACACCGGTTCCACGGTATTTGAGGGTATTTTTTTCCTCTCAGCGGATGATAAAATGTACAAACTTTGTTTATTGACTTTTTTCTTTTACTGTACCTCTGTATCACTGTTTCCCTTCTCTTCTATGTCTTTTCTTTTCCTGGTTGTAGACGGTAATCATGCATTTTAGTCCGATCATGAAGGGTTG